TCAGCATGTGGAAAAACATTTAACTTTTGATCACATGTAGATAGGTTTCAGTTTTGTATGTATATATAAAGTAATGCTTATTGACTAACCTGCAAGTGTTCAGCATGTGGAAAAACATTTAACTTTTGATCACATGTAGATAGGTTTCAGTTTTGTATGTATATATAAAGTAATGCTTATTGACTAACCTGCAAGTGTTCAGAATGTGGAAAAACATTTAACTTTTGATCACATGTAGATAGGTTTCAGTTTTGTATGTATATATAAAGTAATGCTTATTGACTAACCTGCAAGTGTTCAGAATGTGGAAAAACATTTAACTTTTGATCACATGTAGATAGGTTCCAGTTTTGTATATATATATATATATATATTTCTCTATTAGTTTCCTCGGTGTTTCCACTAATATCATTAATATTATTATTATTATACAATTCCTCTCTCTCTCAAAAAATGTACTTCGTGCCCACATTTGTATCAAAAATACAAAAACTAGTTCTTTAGCCAAGTTACAGAAAAAGAGAAGTAAGCTCTGAAAAAAGTAATTTCACCTAAGTTGGATTAGTAACCTTCAAGGTAGATTTGCTTATGGTCTATCATAATTAACCTTGGGGCTAACTTCAAAGTGTAATCACTGAATAAAAGTTTTCTAACTCATTTATCAGCTCTCTGTGAAGCGAGATACAATTTGAATATTAATGTTACGTTAAACGTGACAATTAATGGGAAAATATACAATGGAGGGTGTGATTTATGTCATTTAAATAACTTTATCACCACAAATGACTACTTTTTTTTTCTATGTAAAATTATACATTATTTTTATGTACATACAGCTATACTAAACATTAACAAAGAAATTAAATGCAAGTGTATAACAAGATCAAAGGTTTGAGCTATTGAAGATAAATAAATTTGTTACATGAATGTAGTACACTTCCATTTAATTACTCTTATCAATATTCGGTATAATTGTATGTACTTGTAAATAATGTACGACATTACTGTTCAGTATAATTGCATGTACTTGTAAATAATGTACGACATTACTGTTCAGTATAATTGTATGTACTTGTAAATAATGTACGACGTTACTGTTCAGTATAATTGTATGTACTTGTAAATAATGTACGACGTTACTGTTCAGTATAATTGTATGTACTTGTAAATAACGTACGACGTTACTGTTCAGTATAATTGTATGTACTTGTAAATAACGTACGACGTTACTGTTCAGTATAATTGTATGTACTTGTAAATAACGTACGACGTTACTGTTCAGTATAATTGTATGTACTTGTAAATAACGTACGACGTTACTGTTCAGTATAATTGTATGTACTTGTAAATAATGTACGACGTTACTGTT